TGTGTGAGTTTTTGCGAGGCATGGTGGATGTCCAGGGGGGGGTCACTAATTCGGACAATGCCGGACAAGGGGGGGGGGGAGGGGGGTCTGAAAATCCATCATTTGGCCGGACATCCTTTGTGAATGGCCCCAAACTGAAAAGTAAGTTACACTACAGCTTAAAGAGTTCTTTCATTATTTTAAGAAAATAAGAAATTTCGTGTCATATGCACTTTAAAACAATCATTAATATGGTGTTATGTACTCAGGTGAATATGTTTGTGGTGTTACTTTGAGTGCAGTGCATCCACACCGGGCAGGCAGAGCTACGAGGTCAAGTCGGTTCGAGTTGGTGATATTTCGGAACTGAGTCTAGTTCCTTCGATATCATATCTTATCGGTTGGTAGAGCATTGGACTAGTATCCCAAAGGTCGCGAGTTCGATTACCACCGTGGTCAGGCAAACTTTTCAGCTTGCCCGGTGTGGATGCACACTCTGAGTAACACCACAAACACCAATCGTTAATTTAATAATTCATACGCTTGTGGCAAATCTCACGTGAACCCATTGAAATGATGTGTTAACCAAAATATGTCACGTGAACTGGCCTCGGCTTTATATCTTTTTTACTAAAAAAATTCCCCTTTTACGAGCAAAATAGAATGTATTAATAAACACAGTAAAGTAGATCGGTGCTTTTGGTGCAAACCAAAAGTTATATTTTCTCTTACACAGTATACGAAAATGTAAAATATCAATGCACAATTGAATCAGTGGCACAACTATAAGATGTCGTTTTCATCCGTTTTCGTGTGGACACGGCTTAAAAATTTAAACGACACTTTTTGAAAACTTTATAGGGATATGTAAATTTTGTCTGCCTCAGTTACTAACCCACCGGGCACACGACGTTGTTTCAATGTTGAAATTTGGTAGAAAAAAGGTTGCGACGTCGACAACCTAATATCTACGTTGCTCTGACGCTGTTTTACAAACATTGGTTCAACAGCAGCCAACAGACGTTGAATTAACGTTCATTCATTGTTAAATGTACGACGTCGATCAATCTCAACGTTGTTTTAACGTGGATTCAACGTTGAATTATGGTTGACGAGATTGGCAACCTAATTTCAACGTTGTTTCAACGTCGAAACAGTAACGTCGATCCAATTTGCATAGTCAGAACCCTTTCTCAACGTCTATCCAACGTCTGGAAGGTCATTTTCAACGTTGATTCAACGTTGGATAAACGTCATTTTGCCCGCTGGGAAGCAATGCGAAAACAAGCTTTGAACCGTACTCCGTACGCGCTGTTCGTTGTCGGCTACAAGGCTTTTTTAATACCATGGACAGGTGGGGCTTTGCCCCACTGGGCCCCTTCCTTTGCCCCACCACTGAAGAAAAAAATGGCCTATTGCCCCAAAGCCAGGGGCCTAGGACCTGTATTGAGTGAATGAGTTTAACATTGTAAAGAAGTTTAAAAAACAAAATTTGTTGGTGAGCATACTTAAACTTATGTTGTGTTTAAATGTTTATAGCATGCAATTTATTACAAATTTCACCATTAAAACTTTGTTTTGAGAAGCTGAGATCTTTTTTAAAATGTGTTCTCAGAATGAGATTCAATTTTAAAACTTTCCTGGAGTGGGGGCATGCCCCCAGACCCACACCTTCGGCGATCGCATACCACCCAGAGGGGAGGGCAAGGAGAGAATGGGCCCCTTGGCAGTTTAGCTCCACCACTGAAGAATCCTTAAAGGTGATCTACAGTCCGATCTGCGCATGTGCACAAATGAGCCCACTTTTTATGATACAAACAGTTTATTAGAGTTTAACTATGTTTTGAGTTCTTGAAAAGCCTGATTGTTGTTTCTTGATCATTTATTATACTCTAGAAGCTTGAAAATATAAATAGTTGTCGAATAAAGCTCAATATTTTGGACACAAAAATGTAAACAAAGGCTTTGTTTACATACGGACTGTAGATCACCTTTAAAAAATGCACTGCGGCTCAAAGCTTGTTTTCGCATTGCCTTAAATGAGGCAGACAAAATTTACACATCCCTATTAATAGCATACTTTTCACCGTGGCGATCTTGGCTACTGCTTAAAAAACACTTTCTTGTGTTGTAAAACAGAATCGGGAACATAGCACCGAAACTGACTACGCAACGTTGCAGGTTGGAGAGTATTTTTTATAAAGAAATGATGAAAATTAATAGATGAAAAATCCAGGGGCGCCGAAGTCACGGGGGCAACTGCCTCTGTTGCCCAAACAGTGCGGGGGCAGCACGGGAGCAACAGGTTGCCCTTTTTACTGGAACTGCAGTTCGAAATTTTATACACTTACCATGTTTTAAAGTATTCGACACACTCTCCTGTCCTTTGGGCATGTTAATAGGCGGTAGCGGCTGCGTATCTGTATCGGGAAACGGCGGATCAGCGTGCGTAACGACTTGGGAAGAAATGCCAGGAAAGAACGGCTTCTTGACTTGTTCCTGAACGCCTTGGTACAGCTTTCTTTTCTCGACCGCTTCGTGCACGCTTTGCTTGGGACATGCTCGATGATCAGGTGATAAAGGCCTCCCAGAAAGAAGCGAGTGTCTGGCTGGGTCCGAGCGTCGACGACTTCGAGAGAAACTTTCTCGTGGGCTGGGGCTGCGCGGCAATATATTGTGACTAGATTTTTCTGACAATGGAGGCCACCTCTCGCCACCGGCCGTACGGGACAAACGCGAGCGACACAGCTCTTCAATGCTTTTCTGATACTTTTTTCCAGACATTTTTCTGAACTAGTTTGTGTTTACCATTTGTTGGTTAAAGCACGATTTCTTGCTTTTTGTCGTAGCGCAAAAATAATTCGCAATTAAAACGTTCTATGACGTCGCATAATTAACGCGATTTAAAAACTGCGTGCGCAACTCGACATACCTTCTTTAATTTTGTCCCATCAATTAAAACCAGTTTTGCGCAATTTTGAATTATATGCGAGCCTTTTTTCCGAGATAAGCGTTAGAACGTCAAGATCAATTGGCAGTCGAATGCTCTTACTTGAAAAAATTAACAGCCTTGTAGAGGATGTCTCAAACTAACTTGATTTGCGAGTATCTTGACTGCGCGCTTTGATATTAGTTATCTATGATTAGATTTTGCGCTTATAATAGGTGTTTGTACAGTAGATACACATTAACTTAACTGTTTAAAGTTTGTTCGTTCACTGCAACCAGGTATATCAATCATGTTTCGCTCGCTACTCAGGTTTAAATAAATGATTACAAAGCCCAGTCGAATTGTAGATTGCGTGCAGGGAAAACTCTAAAGTAATTACCACAAACAATCGCAATGGTCAAAGACTATGCCTAGAAGCGTGGCATATAAATATGAGTAATCATGCTTTGAATAGGGATGACGGTGCCTATTTGCCAGAGGAATACATGCATCTCATTGGCAGGTGACGTCATCCCTTGGGTATTTAAGAAGTCACGATTGCAACTTTAGATCACCCCTGATGAAGACCTAGACTGGAGTGTCGAAACGTTGGGTCTTGATTACAATTCGACTGGGCTTTGTAATAATTTATTTAAATCAGAGTAGCGAGCGAAACATGATTAACTGTTTAATTACTATTTTTTTTCAAACTTCACAGTACTAGTTATAATGGAATAAGCTTATTCTTGTTTTGCTCAGTCAACAAGACATGGCTTCGTCGGAAAATTGGCTTGCGCAAATTGAATTTTTACATTGCATTTTAAATTGTAAGCTACTAAACATTCGGAAAGTTCGGTTAATTACTGCTATCAATTTAAGCATACAAATACATGTGCAATTTAACAGCCAGTATAGTCATACCGCATTTATTCGATCAAATGCCACAGCCTGTATTTCCTTTTTTATCAAATTAGAAAGCTATTTATTTACCTATTTCTGTATAAATTTATTTCGTAGGGTTTAGACTTACTGCTTGTATTTCCCTTGTACATTGCGGCGCTTAATCGAGTAAATCCGGTGCGCTAACTCGATATAACTTTGGTTAACATGTTTCTGAAGCAAAAATAATGTGATGTCCTTAATATATACTGTTTTATGTTATGTTTTGCACTGCTGAAAACGTCCATCCAACCAATGTATGTTGAACTTTTGTAATTGATATTCTACAGTATACAGCTCTATAATATTCTACGTCCAGCGCATATGGTCTTTGTTTTGTATATTCAGTGAAGATTAATCTATTTAAAAAACAAAGTTCACATATATTAAGAAAATCTGTTGCCTCTAAAATTAGATGAAGTTTCATCAAATCCTAGGACTGGATGAAGTTTGATTAAGTCTTAGGACTGGTTGAAGTTTGATCAAGTCTTAGGACTGCAGGATGAAGTGTGATCAGGTCCTAGGACTGGATGAAGTTTGATCAAGTCTTAGGACTGGATAAAGTTTGATCAGGTCCTAGGACTGCAGGATGAAGTGTGATCAGGTCCTAGGACTGGATGAAGTTTGATCAGGTCCTAGGACTGCAGGATGAAGTGTGATCAGGTCCCCTAGGACTGGATGAAGTTTGATCAGGTCCTAGGACTGCAGGATGAAGTGTGATCAGGTCCTAGGACTGGATGAAGTTTGATCAGGTCCTAGGACTGCAGGATGAAGTGTGATCAGGTCCCCTAGGACTGGATGAAGTTTGATCAGGTCCTAGGACTGCAGGATGAAGTGTGATCAGGTCCTAGGACTGGATGAAGTTTGATCAGGTCCTAGGACTGCAGGATGAAGTGTGATCAGGTCCCCTAGGACTGGATGAAGTTTGATCAGGTCCTAGGACTGCAGGATGAAGTGTGATCAGGTCCTAGGACTGGATGAAGTTTGATCAGGTCCTAGGACTGCAGGATGAAGTGTGATCAGGTCCCCTAGGACTGGATGAAGTTTGATCAGGTCCTAGGACTGCAGGATGAAGTGTGATCAGGTCCTAGGACTGGATGAAGTTTGATCAGGTCCTAGGACTGCAGGATGAAGTGTGATCAGGTCCTAGGACTGGATGAAGTTTGATCAAGTCTTAGGAGGACTGGATGAAGTTTGATTAAGTCTTCGGACTGGATGAAGTGTGATCAGGTCCTAGGACTGGATAAAGTTTGATTGAGTCTTAGGACTGGATGAAGTTTGATCAAGTCCTAGAACTGGATAAAATTCGATCAAGTCTTAGGACTGGATGAAGTTTGATTAAGTCTTAGGACTGCCTGAAGTTTGATTAAGTCTTAGGACTGGATGAAGTGTGATCAGGTCCTTGGACTGGCTGAAGTTTGATTAAGTCTTAAGACTGGCTGAAGTTTGATCACGTCCTAAGAATGGATGAAGTATGGTCAAGTCCTAGGACTGGATGAAGTTTGATCAAGTCCTAAGACCGGATGAAGTTTGATCAGGTCCTGGACCGGATAAAGTTTAATCAAATCTTAGGACTGGATGAAGTTCCATCAAGTTCTATAGGACTAGATGAAGTTTGATGAAGTCCTAGAACTGGATGTTTGATGAGGCCCTAGGACTGGACGAAATTTAATCAAGCCCTAAAACTGGACGGAATTTAATCAAGCCCTAAGACTGGATGAAGTGTGATCAAGCCTCAGGACTGGATGAAGTTTGACCAAGTCCTAGGACTGGATGGAGTTTGATCAAGTCCTAGGATTGGATGAAGTTTGATCAAGTCTTAGGACTAGATGAAGTTTGACCAATCCTAGGACTGGATGAAGTTTGACCAAGTGCTAGGACTGGATGAAATTTTATCAAGTCTTAGGGTCAACTGGGTGAAGTTTGATCAAGTCTTAGGACTGGATGATGTGTGATAAAGTCCTTGAACTGAAAGAAGTTTGATCATGTCCTTGCCAGTCAATTTTTGGATTACAAATATTGCATAAAAAACGCAAACCTACCTTGCATTAATTACATGCATTCAAATTGATCGACTCGCTGCTTAGTATTTCCCATTCGAATTCGTTTCAATGTTCGATATTTATTCCTCCCAGCCTGGATATTGGCAGCGTAGATATGATCTAATGTAGTAAGCTTTCTCTCCTGTAATTCTGGATAAATATCTTTACCAAGAACCTTGAAATAAACAACCTTGAATTAGTACTTATTCAAATTAGCAACGCCAAGCATACTCTGTCAAGATATGATGGTCTGAAAGCCTGGGAATCTTCAAAGCCACAAAATAGAAGACATTTCTGGGAGCTGTTCCATTTACTGCTCTAGAACATTTGGAACACTGTTCTTGAACGATATGAAATGGAGTGCACACGGTGTTCTGGAACAGTGTTTAGTTTATTTTATATAATACCTTACTGAATTCTGATCGTTTAATTGGCTGTTTATGGTCACGTGATTTTGAATGGAAAATTCCATTTCCCAACAGTGCAATGGAATACGTTCCATTGCACTCTTCACAATTGTACTATACGTTTTATTCCATTGCACTCTTTGTGTTTTCGATAAATCGCATCCGTCAAAATGATTCTCATACGAATCTGTTAGTCTGTTTTGGTATTATATAAAACAAATAATGAATGTTTATTTGTGCAATGGTAAGAATATTTTCATTCGGTGAAAGATGGAATGTTCCATTTAACTCGGCTGTCGCCTCGTTGAATGGAACATTCCATCTTTCACCTCATGAAAATATTCTTACCATTGCACTCATAAACATTCATTATTTGTATAATATATGCGTGCAACCATGTATTACTATATTCATTGGTTATTCGCATAATAAATCGTGTAAATATTTGCTGTTATTTGTATATCTGAGTATGCTCTTGCAACGTTTTTACTCGTTGATTTTGCCCAACCCTGGCGTTCAAATAGCATATGATAAGTATATGTGGATATATTGCGGTTAACCCTTCAAAATAACACTCTATGCAGTGTGCATTGGATACACAAAATCTGTCGACTCCATTTCCATCACGTGAAAATGGGCAGTGTCACGTGTTCTGTTCTAGCTGCCCCTACTTTGAAGTTGGGGCAGCCAGAATAGTTCCGAACAGTCATGTGATCGTGTTCTGTTCCATTCCATTAGTGTTCCCAAAATCCCGAGTACTGGCCGAACCAGGGATGCCGGAAGTTGCTGAGGGCAAGGGGTGCAATTGGTTAACAAGAGGGCATACTCCTTAATAAAAGGAACCAGTGAAAATGAAAAGGCGTCATGATCCTACATTCGTGTCGACCTCCCTCCTCGTCACCAAATGTTTTCGGACCGAATACAATTATTTAGGCACAATTCCTCCGTAATCTCTCGCCAAAAATTCCATAAGTAATGCTTTCCGTTTCACCTTTCGCCAAATGGATAAAAATTTTGACGAATTCCTGACGACTGGGGGTGGAACACCCCCACACACATCCTCGAAGAACGTTTAATTCTGTCTGTTGTAAAAGTTTTGTGCACCCGTTACACCCATAGTCTGCACCCGCACTGCACCCACAAAGTTGAAAATGCAAAAGGCAAGTGGTGCACTTGCACCCGCTGCATCCGTGGTTCCGGCATCCCTGGGCCGAACAGTAAATGGAACAGCCTCCTGATGTTGATGTTGAACAGTAGTACCTCACCATACACAAATCCTTTATCTCAACTTCATTATACGAAAATACAATCAGCTCAAATAACGAGACCGTGGGCAAATTAACATAACTGACACCGAGACAAAAACACAACACGACGACTTCTGATACTTTCCAGACAGTCATATCTCGATAGAAAAGCTTTTTATTTTTAGCGTCCGCGAAACGGTATCTCATGCATTTTAGACACGTTTTATGATAATCTGAAATCCACAGATTTTATTTCTCAAATTCATTAATAATTCATGAGCAATTCAGCCAATGATAATCACCTATTTGATCACAAGATGCCATTTGGATAACCCGGTGAAACTTGATGAAAGTCACTAGTGTTTTCATCGAATATCTTAATTACTTGAACAGAATTCCTAATTACGTTATGCTTGGTTAAGAATTCTATTCAAATCAGCAAACGAAAACATTCTGTTACGTCTCGATTCATTTGAGAAGCCATATAAACAACTCGAGCTCGTGTCTCGCCGGGATATCCAAACAATCGAAAACAATGTATGAACATATTGTATGTATTACATTGTTTGTATGTATTACATTGTTTGAATTTTTTCTGTGTTGGTGTAGTGTACTCAGGTGAATATGATATTTGTGGTGTTACTCTTAGTGTATATCCACACCGGGCGAGCTTGAAAAATATGCCCGGCCAAGGTGGGATTCGAACCTACGACCTTTGGAATACTAGCCCAATGCTCTTCCAACTGAGCTACGCGGTCAGGACAGTTCGAGTAAGTGATATTTCGGAACA